ACAATGCATGTTAGGTGTGAGGCCTTGTTTAGAATCTGTTTGTGTTTTAGTTTGGAGTCAGACTGGTTTTATTTCTAAAGTAGGAATTTATAAAACGCAACATTGACTGACTGTCTATAAATTGTGTGCTTTTTGAACAAAATAGAATGAATCTGCAAATACAAATTCACCCCATAGATTTACGTGTGTGTGTGTGTGTGTGTGTGTGTGTGAGTGTATACTGTGGGGGGGAATCAGTTGTAGTGCGACATGAACTCAAGATCCCAGTTGAGGCTGTCCTCATGGGCACTGAACTTGGCTATCAGCCTCTGCTCGGCGACTCTGCATTGTTGTGTATCCTGAAGTCCGTGTTCGAGTACGTTTATCCTAAGATTCGAGACCGAATGTCCTTGACCGCTGAAGTGTTCGCCTACTGGGAGGGAACATCCCTGCCTGGTGATTGTTGCACAGTGTCCATTCATAGTTGTTGTAGCGTCTGCATGGTTTTGCCAATATACCATGCTTCGGGGCATCCTTGCCTGCAGCGTATGAGATAGACAGTGTTGGCCGGGTCACATGAGTATCTGTCGTGTATGTGATGGGTGGTGTTCCCATGTGTGGTGGTAGTGTCCGTGTCAATGATCCGACATATCTTGCAGAGGTTACCATGACAGGATTGTATGGTGTTGTGGTCAATGTTGTCCTGAAAGCTGGGCAGTTTGCAGTGAGTAATGGCCTGTTTAAGGTTTGGCGGTTGTTTGAAGGCGAGAAGTGGAGGCGTGGGGAAGATCTTGGCGAGCTGCTCATTGTCATCGACAATGTTTTGAAGGCTGCAAAGAACATGGCGTAGTTTCTCCTCTCCCGGGAAGTACTCGACGACGAAGGGTACCCTGTAGACGTATCCCATATCTGTCTTCTGAGGAGGTCATTTTGGTTTTGCACTGTGGCACGTCAGAATTGGCAATCGATGAGTTGAGCATTGCATCCTGTTCTTATTAGAGTGTCCTTTGACACCTTCAGGTGTCTGTCTCGTTCCTCCTCGTCCGAACAGATTCTCTGTATGCGTAGGGGATGCTTATAATTTATTTCTGACTTTTTCCTTCATGGAATATTTCATAAAACTGATTTCCTTTTAACAACAAATTTAGGAAAATAATATTGATATTTATTCTGTAATTACTGCTCTAAATTTCTCTGCCGCTTCACAGTCTTCTCCTTTGAAACCTTGCCATAAAACACATCTTTTGACCAGTCTTTAGTCACTCCTTCTAATTACTTCTCTGTCTTGGCAACCAACTCTGGTTAATCATACCTTTATTCCTTGGAACACATTGAAGTCACTACATAAGTATACAATTTTGTTGGTAATGTATAATTTAAAACTTAAGTAATAGCAGCAGTAATGAAGATTAACTCAAATGTTTAATGTAACAACATAAGCATTCTACGAAAGGTATTCAATATTATGTGATTTAATATTTAAAAATACACATACTTAACGTGATGAAATGTTGCCTCAAAATGTGAAGTTTTGAACAAATATATCATTTAATAAATGATTACATTTGCACAATCATCTTCTAATAAATATTTTAAGTTTGACATGAGTTTTGATGTGATAATTTATCACCTTTTGAGAGATAAGATAAGCCTAGTAGCTAAAAACAATTACTTTACAGATTTGCTGTTTGTTTTTGTTTGGTTTGTTTTCAAAAGTTTACCTAGATCTCCAGACAAAGATATACATTTTCAGAGTTATGGTAATTTTGTTTCCACTATTTAGTGATTTACCATCTGAAAACCAAAATAAACTGGAATAGGTAGGCTTGAAGCAACCCAAAAATGTAAATGTTCTTAAGTAAGTTGTCACTCTATGGAACAGATCATCTGATATTCTGTAGTATCAGTTTTTCTGATAATAATTTCTGAATACTCTTTCTCATAATATGGGTGACTTGTCATACATTTGTCGAAATAAGAATATATGCATGTGATTTGAAACTTCATTATTTATGACAACATTTCTTACTTCCAATGATTCTTAATTCAGTATTGTGACAATACTTAATAATTTCAGTTATAACACAGTTTCCCGTTATGTCATCCTCAGACTGGTATTTTTTATTACAAAAGAAAATTAAGGCCAGTTTTAGGGCCCAGGTCTTACTTGCCTGTGCACATTGTTTAAGGAGCATTTTTGTACTGATTTAATGCTCTCCCATTTTCATAGTCAAATAAAGATGTAGTAGGGTGGGATCCTTGTTTGACTTACTTAGGATGGTTTTGACTAAAGCACGTATATACTTGTCACGGAGTGTCCTTGTTAATAGTAATGTCCCTATTAACATTGGGTATGGCTGCTGGGTTGCTTTGAAATGGTAGCGATAGTTTAACAGGTACCTTAGAGAGCCTGTAATTCCTCCACCCAGTCAAAGTGAACAGTATGTTGTCATTCTGGTGGTAAATTATTGTTGTGAATGACACAAAGAAAGACCCACCAAGATTTTAATTTATCTGTTACAAGCACTACACGAAAGCACAAATTCCAATCTTACCCTAGTCCCTGACTCCAGACTGCTGAGTGACTCACTGCATCACGTTACCCTTAACAGACCAAAATTCATCAAGGTAAATGGTTGCTTCATTCCTTTGTGTGTCCAGGTAAAGCAGAGGTACTTCTCCGGGCTGCATAAATGATGGTGTCCCTCCTGCCCCAGAATGCCTCTCTCCTTCTTGCCAGACTAACTTGGGGAACCATTCTCTCCACACTTTATTGGATGCCAGCTGGTGGTCAACAGCTACCTGGGAGGCCAAATATATTGCCTTATTTGTCTAAAAAACAGTGAGAAGGTGAGAGAGTACATTTTACTATCCATTCTGTACTTCAAAACTCCTTCTCAACTTTGCTGTTTTAGTTGCTGATGTATCATTAACTTTAATAGTCTTCATACATAAACATCCAGAAAATATCCCAAATACTTGATTAATAGGCTTTGCTGAATGCTTTCTCACGTTCTATTCCTATGCAGTTGACCTTTTATAGCAAAAGAATAACTTTTTCAACTAACCTATTAGTGATTAACCGGGGTTCTCATTAAGTTAAGCCCTGATAGGTTCCCAAGGACATTGAGGTGTACTTGCAGGGAAAAGGTGTCATGTAACACATCAATTGTTAAATCATCGCAATCCGCAATGATAGCTCACCATGATCTAAAGGATGTTGTTTGAATGTTCTCAGGAGTCAAGGAGATATATTCCCACTTTTTCCTGAAACTGGTCACTTTTCTTCTCCTTTACAGCCTCTTCCCAACAGTTAGAAATCACATGACACTAGGTTATAACCCAACAGGTTTATTTGAAAACACAAGTTTTCGGAGCCTCAGTCCTTCTGCAGGTGTTAGTCCCTGAAGAAGCACTGAGGCTACAAAAGCTTGTGTTTTCAAATAAACCTGTTGGACTATAATGTGGTGTCGTGTGATTTCTGATCTTGCCCACCCCAGTCCAATACCAGCACCTCCACATCATGGCTTCCCGAGTTAATATCACCAGCAATATAAGGTGGATGATAACGTGGGATTGCACCGTTTTAAGGAATCTTCTGGTTTGGGCCTTCATTCTGTGTTAGGATTGATTTTCTGGCCTCTCCATCCCTGTTTGCTAGTGGTTGGTGGTACACTTCGGACATTTAGTTGGCAGCTTTGTGCAATTTCTGAGCCATGCACTGAAACATCAGAAAATCCTGCACAATGTGAGCCCAAGTTTCTCTGAGCACTGCAAGCATTCAGTCTCATTGACAAGAGTACAAAGCTGTATTAGGGTGAAAATAAGTTACCGATTTGACATCTTTTTATAAACTGGATCTTTGAATAATCAATCCTGAAAATACCATCTTAAAGAATGAGAAATTCACCTGATATAATTGACAAAAACTAACTACATCTGCAAACCATGTTGATTTTACAAGGTGCTATTATTTTAGTACAAAATAAGTTGACCGCAATTATTATCAATAGCAACATTTTGAAATGTCCAAGTGGTTTATGATATGCATTTAAAGTTTGACAGGAGAACAAAGTCATGTTAGCTAAATGAGTCTGAACATGAAACCAACACAGTTTCTGTTCCAGTTGATAATATTGTTGGCTGCAGATCTCTTCTTATTGACTCTAATCACAGGGAATTCCAAGTCCAAGCATAACACCACCACATAGGATACTTATTCAAGCCAATTTCTGACTCAGACTATATCTATCAGGAACCCTCCATGCTGCATATTTATATTTGGTTCAACAATGTGGTTGTGAGTTGTTGCTTATCCACTGAAGTCAAATTCTGACATTTTTCTGCACAACAAGTATAGAAGCACTCCTTTTGTCCTCAGAGCCAAGTTCTCATTGTTCTGAAGTTGTATTTTAGATTTACATTGCATGTTTTTGACCTCTCTTGTTACAGTACATCTTGTAACAGTTTCTGTGTGGTCACCAGGTTATTTTCCAGTCTTGCTTCAATGAAGTAATGATTATGAATCCTTTTATATGTATATTATTATGTACCAAGAATATGGCACGCAGCTGCTAAAGATTGTCAACCATATGTTACAACAAAGTTAATCAATTGCAAACTGCAAACAGTATACACAACAAACACATATCACCAGTGATTCTAAGTCCTCAATCTCTTTAATTTCAAGAGTAAAAAGCCTCTGAAACTATTCTATAGTGTTTATGTTATGTGCAGAGCTTTATTTAAAAATGATTGTTTAATTACTCACTAGTTCTGTATGTAATCACCGCCCAACACCTACTATTTTCCGCATAATTACCCTCTAATATTATCTCCATGCAGTCTTGCCAGATATCTTTTATTCTCCAGACAGATGCACCAGAAAACCATTATTCTGCATCCTGTCCACATTATTAATCTTTATACAGTGGATCTACCATTATCAGTACGAATTTTATTTTCAATCCAATTAGAGTTGCTTGCAGGAGCATTTCCTCCGTGCTTCAAGTTAACAAAGTTGTATGAGGAGTGAATTCACAACATTGTTCCAGTTGATCATAGAATCCCTACAGTGTTGGAACAGGCCCTTCGTCCTAACAAGTCCACATCGACCCTCAGAGCATCCCACCCAGACCCATTATCCCTATAACCCACCTAATCTACATACCCCTGAACACAGTGGGCAATTTAGCATAGCTAATCCATCCTCATAATGATGTGCAAGGTAGGTGGATTGGCCATGCTAAATTGCCCATAGTGCCCAGGGATGTTTAGATTAGGTGGGTTATACATGGGAAATTGGGGGAATGGGTCTGGGTGAGATGCTCTTCGGAGGGGCGGTGTGGACTTGTTGGGCCAAATGGCCTGTTTCCACACTGTAGGGATTCTATGATTCTAACCTGCATATTTTTGAACTTTGGGAGGAAACCAGAGCACCCAGAGAAAACCCAAACAGACATGGGGAGAATGTGCAAACTCCACACAGACAGTCGCCTGAGGGTGGAATTGAACCCAGATTCCTGGCACTGTGAAGCAGCAGTGCTAACCACTGAGCCACCATGTCGCTCATTGCCATTGCTCATCCTTCATGACCAAATAAAACAGTTGGAATGTCCATCTCACTTTTTGGATGACTGAAATCCATATTTCCTCAGAATGAAGGTCTGCAGGTTGAACAATGGCCTCTGGATTCACCAGGCTGAGAATCTTGATCGTTCAAGTAGAACAGTCCTCAGTTGTGGTTACATTCAGCATCAGCAAAGTGGTGGATCTCAAGAGTTGGAGGTTTTTTTTAAAATGGGTTTTCTTATTTTAAACAACTTGTTCCCCCTAATGAATATCTATTTTCTATTGCTTTGGGGCTGCTTTTTAACAAAATATTTCTACTGCTGCACAGATTTTCACAAGATTGATTCCCTGTTGATGGCGTGCCCTTAAAGATCATAGACAGGGAAACAAAGTTAATGGATGGAACACCCACAGGAGTCTGAGCAGCATGGGCTGTGGCACTGTTTGTGTGAGAACTGGATGAGAAGTCTGGTGTGGCCCATCTCAACATTAGGCGCATCTCGCTCCATCTTTCATGTTTTTGACAAGCAGCGTGGAAGGTTTCTTGCTAAGCAACAGTGAGTTGTCAACGGAGGGAGATTATTGCTTATTAAAGGCCTTGTCAACAGCCCAACTCATTAATATTCAGCTTCCTATCTTATCAAACATGTCAAACAAGATGTTGAGAAAAACTGAACATGGAAACCAGAGTGGGTACCTGGTGACTTCAGCTCGCCACTTGCTGTGCAGGGTCTCCCTGTCTCTGAAGCCCAAACTGTAGCCCAGGGCATTATTCACAGACCCATGGTTATTGGCGTCCAGTGTTTGTCACCCTGTCTCAAGCATTTTGCAGTCTGTGAATAAAATCTCTCATTTGCAATTGTCGAATTGTTTGCCTGTATGTGATGTTCCCCTAATGGACAATGATGAGCTTTTGATCTGCAGTAGGTGCTGTGGACACAGTAACAGTGAATTAGAGGTTTTCAGACCAGATGTAGCTAAGGACTGGTTCGTTAGGTGGCCTGTTTGTTATTTGGCGACAAGGGTGAGAGAACGGAGGTGTAAGTGTTGGGGACTGTAAGCCATGCCACATATTTGCCAAGAGCAGCATGACTTTGTGGCTGCTGTACCATTCTGCTGCCAGTGAGGGGCAACACCAAATTGCCAGAGGCTTTTCAAAATGGCATGGGCACAAAAGATGCTGGTCTTTCAATGGAGTGGCGACTTGTTCTGGGAATAGCAAGTGGTAAGATAATGATAGAATCAAACTGAAGGGATACCATATGATGGGGTAGGTAATTCGTGCTTTTGGTAAGATATGGTGAGAGAACTTGCCAAGCCTCACAAGGAAGAATCCCTCTAAAGCACATGATACAAATCACACTTTGTCAAGATAAACATAAAATTCCGCGAAAAGTTTCAGGATAATGTTCTGATGAGAGATCAACTACCCAAAATGTTAACGTTGTTTCTCTTTCCATGAATGCTGCTGATCTGTTTAGTTTTTCATCTTGCTTTTATTTGTCATTGAGTCATACAGTGTGGATCCTTTGGTCCAACAAGTCCATGCCGAACATGTTCCCAAACTAAACCAGTTCCATCTCCCTGTACTTGGTCCAAACCCTTCCTATTCATGTACTTATCCAAATGTCTTTTAAATGTTGTAACTTTTCCTGCATCCACCACATTCTCTGGCAGCGCATTCCACACACAAATCGCGCTGTGTGTAAAAAAACTTATCGCTCGTGTCCTTTTTAAATCTTTCTCTTCTCATTTTAAAAATTTGCCCCCTAGTTTTGACCCTGCCATCTGATCCTGATTAGTTGTCTCAGAAAGTATTGCTGTAAAGTATTTCAGTTTCTTAATGTGTCATAAGTATGCTGTCCAGGTTTGCAGGCATAACATTGTTGGGACAGAAACTCTGTGTGTGCCTGATTCTCAGGCTGTTGCCTGTCTTGGGACCTGTGCAGAATTTGCCAAGAGTTCATCTGCCCTTGGTGATTCTGTGGGTTCCTTCTTTATTGATAATGAACCTCTCTCCAGAAGAAGGCAATGCCCAAAGTTACACAGACTGTTTTCCTCCTGATTCGTAACCGGGCCGGAGGATATTTCTGCCTAACATAATTCATTCTCATGCTTTCACATTTCTG